ATAGAGATGTTGACAGACGATGTAATCTGTCCATCAACCCTTGTAGTTGTTAGAATTTGAGGTTGTCAGTCCTTCGGCCTTGCTTGGTTTAAGGTTTTGCTGCTCACCATAACCCCCAAGTCCTTTTCGCGCAATCTGTATGGCTAAGTTCTACATAATTTAACTTATAGTGTAGGTACATGGACCACTCCCGAGCTTCAGAACCTTGCATTTATCTACAATTGTTTTTTGATAAAAATAAATAAAAAAAAAAATAAAAAAAAAAAAAATCAAAAAATAAAAACAAAAAAAAAAAAAAAAAAAAAAAAAAAAAAAAAAAAAAAAAAAAAAAAAAAAAAAAAAAAAAAAAAAAAAAAAAAAAAAAAAATAAAAAAAAAAAAAAAAAACAAAAAAAAAAAATAAAAAAAAAAAAAAAAAAAAAAAAAAAAAAAAAAAAAAAAAAAAAAAAAAAAAAAAAAAAGAAAAAAAAAAACGCATCTGCCACTTTCTGACCAAGAATATATTTGTTTAAATCCTCCTGAAGTTCCATAGAACATCTACGTTTGAATCATTTATCATAACCTATCTTTTGTGTCATCGGCGAATTTGCTCATATTCACTAGTAATTCCTCATTCAAGGTCATTGATATTATATATAAAAACAACGGGCCCAAGGACTGGTCCTGATGGGAACGCCACTTGTTACTGGTCCCCACTCGGATTTTACCCATTTATGGACCACTGCTTTCCTGTCTGGGAGCCATGACTCGATGCCCACGAGTCACTTTTCCACACATGCCATGAGCTGCCACTTTCTTTAACTCAGTTTTGGTGCCCGGAACTCTATCAAAAGCCTTACTAAATCTAAGTAAATAATATTCAAAATTCTTTATCGTGGTCAAACAGCCTCAAAAGGCTTTGCTTGAAAGAAAGTTAATAAATTACGGTTAGACAAGACCCGGCCTCTTGTGAATCCATGCTGAGTATCACTTAATCAAGCTATGCTTATCGAGATGGCTTCTTATAATCTCAGCTATAATTGACTAGTAATTTGCACCTACAATTGACGGTCAGGCTTATTGGGCGGTAATTTGACGGTAACGACTTGTCCCCTGTTTTAAAAATAGGAATTACATTAGCCATCTTCCACATATCAGACACTACACCTGTTTGAAGAGATAAATTAAAAATATTAGTTAATGGTTCACAGAGTTCCATTTTTCATTCCTTAAGAACCCTTGAAAAAACCTCATCAGGACCCAGCGACTTATTTTGCTTCAGTCTGTCTATCTGCTTCACAACCATTTCACTAGTGGCTGTGATGTTACATAATTTATCTTCTTCTAGCCCACTATAAAAATTAATTACTAGAATATTATTAGTGTCTTCCTGTGTAAAAATTGAGAGAAAATAATTATTTAAAATCGAGCACATTTCATTCTCTTTGTCAGTAAGATGCCCATAGTTATTTTTAAGGGGACCTATCTTATCTCTAACTTTTGTTCTATAGACCTGGAAAAAACTTTTTGGGTTAGTTTTAGAATCCCTAGCAACTTTAATTTCATAGTCCCTTTTAGCTTTTCTTATCCCCTTTTTAATGTCCCTCTTAATGTCAATATACTGATTCATAAGGTGACCCTCACCTCTTTTGTACGCCTAAAAATTCCTTTCTTATGCCCTAGTAGATATTTGAGCCTTTTAAATTCATCCATTTTGGGTCATTTCTATTTGATCTAATTTCTTTATATGGGATAAACGTTCTTTGAGCAGCATGTATAGTGTTCAGAAAACTGTCATATTGATAGCTCTCTTTGTTACCCCAGTCAACAGATGATAAGTGTTCTCTAAGCCCATCGTAATCTGCTAAGCGAAAATCTGGGACTGTTACTGAGTTATCGCTACTATCGTACTTCCATTCAATGCTAAATGTAATTGATTTGTGGTCGCTAGCACCCAATTCCTCTGAAATTTCTAAATTATTAACAAGGGATTCATTATTTGCCAGAACTAAGTCAAGCAGGTTATTTCCCCTTGTAGGTTCTGTCACAAACTGCTTCAAAAAACAATCCTGAACTACTTCTAAGAAGTCGTATGATTCTAAATTCCCAGTCAAGAAATTCCAATCAATATGACTAAAGTTAAAGTCTCCTAAAATTACTACATTATCGTGCCTTGTGGCCTTAACAATTTCCTCCCATAGTAGTCTCCTTTGGTCCTTATCTAAGTTTGGGGGACGGTATATCATTCCTACAATCAGCTTTTCATGCCCCTCTGAAAATTCTATCCAAACAGACTCTGTATGTGTTACTTCAGACTTAATACCCGTTTTTATGCAACAGTTCAAGCGATCTCGGACATACAATGCCACCCCACCCCCCCTTCCCTATACTTCTATCTACTGGAACAATTTAAAACCCTGAATGTGACATTCCGCAGGCATGTCCCGACTTTTTGAATTAAACCACGTCTCAGTTAAGGCAAATACATCAATGTTATCTGTACTAGCAACTAATCTCAACTCGTCCATCTTATTCCTAGCACTACGGCTATTAGCATAATAAACATTGAAAGACTCTCCTTTCTCTTTACCCTTCCTGCTCATTTCTGTTTTTCTACTAAACCTATTACTGTCCTTATCACCCAGTGTCACTGGCTTTTCAATATCTACCTCGTCCTGCTTATTACTAGTTCCCTAGAACTCATAATATTACTACACTGGGACTTCACTGTTTTCCCACCAAAACCCATACCACTAACTATTCCTAGTTTAAAGTCCTAACAGCTCCCTCCACTGCAGTTGCCAGTGCTCCCACCCCAGACCTAGATAAGTGAACCCCATCCCTGGCATACATGTCATTTCTGCCGTAGAAGAGGTCCCAGTTGTCAATGAATGTAACCGCATTTTCCTTACAGTATTTGTCCAGCCAGCAATTGACACCAATTGCCCTGGACAACCATTCATTTCCAACTCCTCTCCTTGGCAAAATACCACATATGACAGGGTTCCCACCCTTCCTCCTAATTATTTCTATTGCTGACCTATACTTGCTAATCAGGTCTTCACTCCTATGTCTGCCAACATCGTTGCCTCCAGCACTGAGACATAATAGGATTGCTCCCATTACCTCTCATGATGTCATCCAGACGGCTAACAATATCCTCCATCCCAGCCCCAGGAAAGCAAACCCTCTGTCTCCTACTCCTGTCCTTCAAGCAGAACGCCCTATCCATATACCTAACTTGGCTATCCCCAATAACAACAATATTCTTACCTTCCTTGATGTCGTTCGTCGTGACGTTCCCAGTAGTCGACTCACATTCGTCGGGTAGCACTGAGAATGTATTAGATGTTTCCACAACAGTTTCCACGGCAGTCTCTTTTTTCTTCATCGTTTCTACCTTTCCATTCGTCTTCTTGATCGTCAACTTCGTTCCCTGCTGTCCAGCCGCTGACCAGTTTCCCTTCTTGACCTTAGGACTCAAAACAGGAGGACTACTACGAATCTTCTTGTTTTCCTCGGTCAGTCGCCGAATCTCCATCTTCGCCATCCTCAATTCTTTCTTAAGCTGTTGGTAAAGTTGCTCGATGGAGGGCATCTTGATTCAATTCGTAGAGAGCGCGCAAACAGGTCTTCACAGAGCTAAGTACACGTCACCATTCAAAGTACACGTCACCACTGACTAAGTACACGTCACCACTGGTAAGTACACGTCACCACTGGCTAAGTACACGTCACCACTGGCTAAGTGCACGTCATGTATTTATCTAACCTATTTTTAAAACTACACAACGTTTTAGAATGAATAATTGTACTCGGGAGTTTGTTCCACTCATCCACAACTCTATTACCAAACCAGTGTTTTCCTATATCCTTCGTGAATCTGAATTTTTCCAACTTGAAACCATTGCTGTGAGTCCTGTCTTGGCTGGAAATTTTCAGCACGCTGTTTACATTCCCTTTATTTATTCCTGTTTTCCATTTATACACCTCGATCATATCCCCCCTAATTCTACGCCTTTCGAGAGAGTGCAGATTCAGGGCCCTTAGTCTATCCTCATAGGGAAGATTTCTGATACATGGGATCATCTTTGTCATCCTCCTCTGTACGTTTTCCAGAGCATTTATATCCATTCTGTAATATGGTGACCAGAACTGAGCAGCATAGTCTAAATGAGGCCTAACCAAGGATATATAGAGTTGAAGAACAACATGAGGACTTCTATTATTTATACTTCTGGATATGAAGCCAAGAATTCTGTTAGCTTTATTGCGAACAATAATGCACTGTTGTCTTGGTTTTAGATTACTGCTAACCAGAACTCGTAAATCCTTTTCGCAATCAGTAGTATTAAAATCTACATTATTAGTTTATATGGGGCATGGTTATTTAACTGTCCAACATTAGAACTTTGCATTTTCAATATTAAACTGCATCTGCCACTTTTCCGACCATTGCATCAGTCTATTCAAATCATCCTGGAGTGCTCTAGTGTCCTCATTAGAATGAATTGGACGGCCTATTTTGGTGTCATCAGCAAATTTGCTTATGTCGCTATTTATTCCCTCATCAAATGCGTTTATGTAAATTGTGAACAACAACGGGCCCAACACTGACCCCTGACGAACACCGCTTTTGACGTGCCCCCATTCTAATTTCTCCCCATTTATGCAAACTCTCTGCTGTCTAATTTGTCAGCCATGCCTCTACCCAGGAAAAATTTCTCCTATTCCGTGTGCCTTAAGTTGCCTCAATAGCCTTGGTGTGGAACTCTATTGAAAGCCTTACTGAAGTCTATATACACAGTATCATATTCATTACCATGATCTACCTCCTCAAACATACATACATACATACATATATATATAATATATATATATATATAATATATATATATATATATATATATAAATATATATATATATATATAAATATATAATATAATGTACTTTACATACTTTTTATATAAACTGATCAGCGAATCTCTGTACGGTTTTACAGAGGGAGTTTCTTCTTTACAGACTTCTTCAAGGTTAAAGGGAGATCAAGACTTCAGTAGTGTGCGTGTAGACTCGTGCAAGGTTGGTCTTACTCAGTCATACTGGGTGTGTTTCTTACATGACGAAGAGACTTGTGTTAGTCTGAGTTTGGAGATTTCATTAAACTGATGGCGATGTGGCCAGACATTCTCATGTTGGTTCAGTGAATGTGGCATCATGAAAGGTTTCAGTGGTAGAGTTGTTGTAACATGGGGGTGCCAACTTTCACACAGACACATGGTAAAGTGGGAGGGTCAGTGGGAGGTTAAGGTAGCAAGGGAAGGGGAGTGAGAGGGAGGCAGGGTGGGCAGTGTACCAGACGATGATGTAAGCATCTTTATAACACCAATAAGTCCCAGAGACAATGGTAGGTGAGGCCAATGTACTGGTCCTAGAGAGAGAGAGAGAGAGAGAGAGAGAGAGAGAGAGAGAGAGAGAGAGCGATAATCGTGGATATATGAGGTATGAATAAATGAGGGATAACGAAAAAAGATAATTTTTAACTTGATAAAATATGGTACATTACCAGTGTACTGCTACTCTGTTCTGTGTGAATATTACACAATGGGGAAACAATCCCTGTCATGATCCATCACACAGGATGGTGTTTCCCTGTCATGATCCATCATACAGGATCGTGTTTCCCTGTCATGATCCATCACACAGGATGGTGTTTCCCTGTCATGATCCATCACACAGGATGGTGTTTCTCTGTCATGATCCTTCACACAGGATCGTGTTTCCCTGTCATGATCCATCATACAGGATCGTGTTTCCCTGTCATGATCCATCACACAGGATGGTGTTTCACTGTCATGATCCATCACACAGGATGGTGTTTCCCTGTCATGATCCATCACACAGGATGGTGTTTCACTGTCATGATACATCATACAGGATGGTGTTTCACTGTCATGATCCATCATACAGGATGGTGTTTCCCTGTCATGATTCATCATACAGGATGGTGTTTCACTGTCATGATCCATCATACAGGATGGTGTTTCACTGTCATGGTCCATCATACAGGATGGTGTTTCACTGTCATGATCCATCATACAGGATGGTGTTTCCCTGTCATGATTCATCATACAGGATGGTGTTTCACTGTCATGATCCATCACACAGGATGGTGTTTCACTGTCATGATACATCATACAGGATGGTGTTTCACTGTCATGATCCATCATACAGGATGGTGTTTCCCTGTCATGGTCCATCATACAGGGTGGTGTTTCCCTGTCATGATCCATCACACAGGATGGTGTTTCCCTGTCATGGTCCATCATACAGGATGGTGTTTCACTGTCATGATACATCATACAGGATGGTGTTTCACTGTCATGATCCATCATACAGGATGGTGTTTCCCTGTCATGATTCATCATACAGGATGGTGTTTCACTGTCATGATCCATCACACAGGATGGTGTTTCCCTGTCATGATCCATCATACAGGATGGTGTTTCCCTGTCATGATTCATCATACAGGATGGTGTTTCACTGTCATGATCCATCACACAGGATGGTGTTTCACTGTCATGATCCATCACACAGGATGGTGTTTCACTGTCATGATCCATCACACAGGATGGTGTTTCACTGTCATGATCCATCACACAGGATGGTGTTTCCCTGTCATGATCCATCATACAGGATGGTTTTTTCACTGTCATGATCCATCACACAGGATGGTGTTTCCCTGTCATGATCCATCATACAGGATGGTGTTTCACTGTCATGATCCATCACACAGGATGGTGTTTCCCTGTCATGATTCATCATACAGGATGGTGTTTCACTGTCATGATCCATCATACAGGATGGTGTTTCCCTGTCATGATTCATCATACAGGATGGTGTTTCACTGTCATGATCCATCACACAGAATGGTGTTTCCCTGTCATGATCCATCATACAGGATGGTGTTTCCCTGTCATGATTCATCATACAGGATGGTGTTTCACTGTCATGATCCATCACACAGGATGGTGTTTCACTGTCATGATCCATCACACAGGATGGTGTTTCACTGTCATGATCCATCACACAGGATGGTGTTTCACTGTCATGATCCATCACACAGGATGGTGTTTCCCTGTCATGATCCATCATACAGGATGGTGTTTCACTGTCATGATCCATCACACAGGATGGTGTTTCCCTGTCATGATTCATCATACAGGATGGTGTTTCACTGTCATGATCCATCACACAGGATGGTGTTTCCCTGTCACGATCATCATACAGGATGGTGTTTCTCTGTCATAATCCATCATACAGGATGGTGTTTCTCTGTCATGATCCATCGTGCAGGATGGCCTTTCACTGTCATGATCCATCATACAGGATGGTGTTTCCCTGTCATGATCCATCATACAGGATGGTGTTTCCCTGTCATGATCCATCACACAGGATGGTGTTTCACTGTCATGATCCATCATGCAGGATGGCGTTTCACTGTCATGATCCATCATACAGGATGGTGTTTCCCTGTCATGATCCATCACACAGGATGGTTTTTTCACTGTCATGATCCATCATACAGGATGGTGTTTCCCTGTCATGATCCATCACACAGGATGGTGTTTCACTGTCATGATCCATCATACAGGATGGTGTTTCCCTGTCATGATCCATCACACAGGATGGTGTTTCACTGTCATGATCCATCACACAGGATGGTGTTTCACTGTCATGATCCATCATGCAGGAGGGCGTTTCACTGTCATATCCATCATACAGGATGGTGTTTCCCTGTCATGATCATCACACAGGATGGTGTTTCACTGTCATGACCCATCATCTCAGGATGGCGTTTCACTGTCATGATCCATCACACAGGATGGTTTTTTCCCTGTCATCATCCATCACACAGGATGGTGTTTCCCTGTCATGATTCATCATACAGGATGGTGTTTCCCTGTCATGATCCATCATACAGGATGGTGTTTCCCTGTCATGATCCATCACACAGGATGGTGTTTCACTGTCATGATCCATCACACAGGATGGTGTTTCCCTGTCATGATCCATCATACAGGATGGTGTTTCCCTGTCATGATCCATCATACAGGATGGTGTTTCCCTGTCATGATCCATCACACAGGATGGTGTTTCCCTGTCATGATCCATCATACAGGATGGCGTTTCACTGTCATGATCCATCATACAGGATGGTGTTTCCCTGTCATGATTCATCATACAGGATGGTGTTTCCCTGTCATGATCCATCATACAGGATGGCGTTTCACTGTCATGATCCATCATACAGGATGGTGTTTCCCTGTCATGTTTCCCATCATACAGGATGGTGTTTCACTGTCATGATCCATCACACAGGATGGTGTTTCCCTGTCATGATCCATCATACAGGATGGTATTTCCCTGTCATGATTCATCATACAGGATGGTGTTTCACTGTCATGATCCATCATACAGGATGGTGTTTCCCTGTCATGGTCCATCATACAGGATGGTGTTTCCCTGTCATGATCCATCACACAGGATGGTGTTTCTCTGTCATGATCCATCATACAGGATGGTGTTTCACTGTCATGATCCATCACACAGGATGGTGTTTCCCTGTCATGATCCATCACACAGGATGGTGTTTCCCTGTCATGATCCATCACACAGGAGGTGTTTTCTCTGTCATGATCCATCACACAGGATGGTGTTTCCCTGTCATGATCCATCATACAGGATGGTGTTTCACTGTCATGATCCATCATACAGGATGGTGTTTCCCTGTCATGATCCATCATACAGGATGGTGTTTCACTGCCATGATCCATCATACAGGATGGTGTTTCCCTCTCATGATCCATCAAACAGGATGGTGTTTCCCTGTCATGATCCATCACACAGGATGGTGTTTCCCTGTCATGATCCATCATACAGGATGGTGTTTCACTGTCATGATCCATCATACAGGATGGTGTTTCCCTGTCATGATTCATCATACAGGATGGTGTTTCACTGTCATGATCCATCACACAGGATGGTGTTTCCCTGTCATGATCCATCATACAGGATGGTGTTTCCCTGTCATGATTCATCATACAGGATGGTGTTTCACTGTCATGATCCATCACACAGGATGGTGTTTCACTGTCATGATCCATCACACAGGATGGTGTTTCACTGTCATGATCCATCACACAGGATGGTGTTTCACTGTCATGATCCATCACACAGGATGGTGTTTCCCTGTCATGATCCATCATACAGGATGGTGTTTCACTGTCATGATCCATCACACAGGATGGTGTTTCTCTGTCATGATCCATCACACAGGATGGTGTTTCACTGTCATGATCCATCACACAGGATGGTGTTTCCCTGTCATGATTCATCATACAGGATGGTGTTTCACTGTCATGATCCATCATACAGGATGGTGTTTCCCTGTCATGATTCATCATACAGGATGGTGTTTCACTGTCATGATCCATCACACAGAATGGTGTTTCCCTGTCATGATCCATCATACAGTTTGGTGTTTTCCCTGTCATGATTCATCATACAGGATGTTTTTTCACTGTCATGATCCATCACACAGGATGGTGTTTCACTGTCATGATCCATCACACAGGATGTGTTTCACTGTCATGATCCATCACACAGGATGGTGTTTCACTGTCATGATCCATCACACAGGATGGTGTTTCCCTGTCATGATCCATCATACAGGATGGTGTTTCACTGTCATGATCCATCACACGGGAGGTGTTTCCCGTCATGATTCATCATACAGGATGGTGTTTCACTGTCATGATCCATCACACAGGATGGTGTTTCCCTGTCACGATCATCATACAGGATGGTGTTTCTCTGTCATAATCCATCATACAGGATGGTGTTTCCCTGTCATGATCCATCATACAGGATGGTGTTTCCCTGTCATGATCCATCACACAGGATGGTGTTTCACTGTCATGATCCATCATGCAGGATGGCGTTTCACTGTCATGATCCATCATACAGGATGGTGTTTCCCTGTCATGATCCATCACACAGGATGGTGTTTCTCTGTCATG